CCCCACCTCCGACTGGTTCCCCGCCCCGCCCTCCGCCGCGTAGCGGATCCGGTACCCGTGCACCACCGAGTTGGGTGCGCACCAGCGCACCAGCGCCGACGTGTCGGTCACCTCCGCCACCCCCTGCAGCCTGGGCGGGTCTGGGGGCGTGTCTTCTCCGCTGAGGCCCGGGCACAGGCACCGCGAGCGCCTCTGCAGCTCCGCGCAAGGGGTCTGCAGGTGCCTGCAGGGATGGTAGTCACAGGGGACATGCCGGCCGGGCGATCCCACCTCCTCCGTCGCCCCCTCCTCCTCCTCACTGTAGTCATCCAGCAGTAAGACCGGAATCCCGCCCTCGGAAGAACTCGGGACGGGGGCCGAAGGGGTCGCCTGTGTCCCCCGGCCTGGCCGAGGCGTGCTCATGCGGGTCCACGAGGTGGGGTGGGGGCCTAGGTGTTTGCTGGCCAGCGGGGTGGAGGCAGCTGAGGCGTTCGGCTCCAGGGTGAGGCCGGCAGCATGCGGTCCTTGGGGCCGGGTCCCGGGCGGAAGGCTGGGGTGGCTGAGACCTGACGCAGAGCGGGTGGCGGAGAGGACAGCCTCCTTCCTTCTGTCTCTGTGCGGCCGTGCAGCTGGTGTGATGGAGCCCGCAGGGAGGAGAGGGGCCCAGGAGGCACTCCGCTGGCCTCTCGCAGGCTGGGTGGCCGAGGCTGTCCTGGGCGAGCCCGAAGGACTCCGTGTAGATGGTGCCAAGGAGCGAGAGCGCGAAGCAGGGAGGATGGCGCTCTGGTCCCACTGGCACACTCGGGGCAGCTGGGAGAGGGACAACGGGGCTGGGAAGGGGCGGCCGGGTCCCGCTGCCGGTGTGCACATGGTGTCTGCCGCCCTGGAGGGGAAGCAGCCAGTTAGAAGGGGCCGGCTCCAGGGATGCTTCCTTGCTTGGCTTTGAACCCACAGCGCCACGCCGGATCCACACGTCTCTGCCAGGTACCTTGTGGTACACACTCCACACACACCTCACTGCCTCGTGGGAAACCCTTGGGGGAGGCTCCTGTCACCACTCCTTAATCAGGCCAAGCACTGCGAGAGGCAGTCCAGATTTTCTGAGTGTCCTCTGCCACTATGTTCC